GAGCATTGCCCGGGGGCAGTGGATGCTTCCCGAGTTTCTGGCTTACAGACTAAGGGGGAATTGAGTGGCTCATCAGAGGGGGATTGCAGGGATCTCTCTGCTGGTGCAGGATTCTCTTGCTTTTCTTTGCTTAGATCTGGGTCACAGTTCTGGGTGGTGATCCTGGGGTGAGGAGGAGTGCTGGCATGGTGGAGCTTGTAGTGGTGTTCCACTACAAGCAGTTCCAAGGCAGAAAAGAGTGCTTGTGGTCACTTATAGATCAGAGCTCAGGCCAGGAAAAGAGTAAGCACCTCGTCCCTTATCATACAACCTTTGAAGAACTGAAAATTCACAGGTCCCTAGAAGTATCTCTGAAAACAGCTGCATAAAACCCCTGAAACTTAGGACAATATATTCTCCACACTGAAAGCAGACCCCTACCTTAACAAAGAGTTTAAAACGCAAGTAATTGGCTGGGATCATGAATAAACAAAGGTCCAAAAAGTAAGACTATAGAATCTTTCTTTGGTAACAAAGAAGATCAAAACATACAACCAGAAGAAGACAACAAAGTCAAAGTTCCCATATCCCAAGCCTCCAAGAAAAATATGAATCAGCCCCAGGCCATGGAAGAGCTCAAAAAGGAGTTTGAGAAGCAAGTCAGAGAAGTAGAGGAAAAACTGGGAAGAGAAATGAGAGTGATGAAAGAAAATCATGAAAAACTTTAGCTTGCTAAAGGAGACCCAAAAAAAATTGAAGAAAATAACACCTTAAAAAGTAGCCTAACCCAAATGGCAAAAGAGGTCCAAAAAGCCAATGAGGAGAAGAAGGCCTTAAAAAGAAAAATTGGCCAAATGGAAAAGGAAGTCCAAAAGCTTACTGAAGAAAATACTTCCTTAAAAATTAGAATGGAACAATTGGAACCTAGCAACTTTATGAGAAATCTAGACACTAAAACAAATCCAAAAGAATGAAAAAATAGAAAACAATGTGAAATATCTCATTGGAAAAACAACTGACCTGGAAAATAGATCCAGGAGAGAGAATTCAAAAATTATTGGACTATCTGAAAGCCATGAGCAAAAAAAGGGCCTAGACATCATCTTTCAAGAAATTATCAAGGAAAACTGCTCTGATATTTTAGAACCAGAGGGCAAAATAGAAATTGAAAGAATCCACCAATCACCTCCAGAAAGAGATCCCCAAAGGAAAGCTCCTAGGAATATTGTTGCCAATTTCTAGAGTTCCCAGGTCAAGGAGAAAATATTGCAAGCAGCCAGAAAGAAATAATTCAAGTATTGTGGAAGCATAATCAAGATAACACAAGATTTAGCAGCTTCTACATTAAGGGACCAGAGGACATGGAATATAATATTCCAGAGGGCAGAGGAGATAGGATTACAGCCAAGAATCACCTACCCAGCAAAAGTGAGTATAATCCTTCAGGGGGAAAAATTGACACATTCAGTGAAATAGAGGACTTTCAAGCATTCTTGATGAAAAGACCAGAGCTGAATAGAAAATTTGACTTTCAAATACAAGACTCAAGTGAAACATGAAGAGGTAAACAGGAAAGAGAAATCATAAGAGACTTATTAAGGTTGAACTGTTTATATTCCTACATGGAAAGATGATATTTGTAACTCATGAGACCTTTTTCAGTATTAGGGTAGTTGGAGGGGGAAAAAATTATATGTATGTAGATAGATAGATAGATAGATAGATAGATAGAGGGCATAGGGTGAGTTGAACATGAAGGGGTGATATCTGGAGAATAAAATTAAGGGGTGACAGAGGATTATACTGGGAGAAGGAGAAAAGAAAGAGGTAGAATGGGGTAAATTATCTCACAAAAAACAGGCAAGAAAAGGCTTTTACAGTGGAGGAGAAATGGGGGAAGGTGAGAGGGAATGAGTGAATCTTATTTTCATAGGATTTGGCTTAAGGAGAGGATAACATACACACTGAATTGGATATGGAAATCTAACTTACCCTACAGGAAAATGGGGGGAAGGGGACAAGAGAGCAGGGGATAATAGAGGGGAGGATAGATTGGGGAGGGAGTAATCAAAAGAAAATACTTCTGAGGAGGGACAGGGTCAAAAGAGAGAATAGAATAAATGGGGAGGGCAAGATAGGATGAAAGGAAATATACTTAGTTTTTCACAACATGATTACTATGGAAGTGTTTTGCATGACTACCCATGTATAACCTGTATCAAGTTGCTTGCCTTTTCAATGAGGGTGGGTGGGGAGGGAAGAAGGGAGAAAATTTAGAACTCAAAGTTTCAAAAACACATGTTAAAAAATTTTTTTTCACATGCAACTGGGAGATAAGAAATACAGGAAATGGGGTATAGAAATCTACCCTGCCCTACAAGAAAATAGAAGGGGAAGGGGATAAGAGAAGAGGGGGAGAGATAGAAGGGAGGGCAGATTAGGGGAAGGGATATACAGAATGCATGCCATCTTGGGGTGGGGGGAGGGATGAGTTGGGGAGAAAATTTGGAACTCAAAATCTTGTGGAAATGAATGTTGAAAACTAAAAATAAACAATTTTTTAAAAAATTTAAAAAATAAAAAATAAAAGAAATAAAGCTAGGGGCCAGATCATAAAGCTTTTTGAATGGCAAGCTATAGGTTCTGGACTTAATTTTGTAAGCAACTGAGATCCACTTAGGGTATTATGACATAAGAATGGAACTGATCTAGTCTTTATAAGGGAGCTCATCCATTTAAATTATAAAAGTTATGCAAATATTTGGAGTTTTCACATTTACTTTCCCATCTCTAACGATTTTGCAACACAGAACCCATTATATTTCCATCTTTTAAAAGTAATGAGAACCACACATATCATAACTGATTTATTGCAAATTCCAAATCCATTAAATAGCATCTGAACTAATAAAGTTTTCTTGATACCTATAGTTAATAAGCCACAGTCCATAGGATCATGGATTTAGAACGGGAAGTGGTCTCCACCCCCACATTTTAGAAACAGGGAAACTGAGACCTCTTAAGGTGAAGCAACCCACCTAAGATCATATAGATAGTGACAGAGTTAGAATTTGAACCCAGGCCTTCTGACTCCAAATCTAAAGCTCTTTCCATTACATTACTCTGTTTCTCATGACACTTGGTGATTTCATAGGTTATTAATTCTGGACAATTTAACATGCTTGAAGTATGAAATCAGCACTTTCTTTCCCAGGACCAAGTTATCACTTGGCTCAGAATTTTACAGCTACTGTTTCTTCATACAGTAATTAGTTCTTTGTTTTTTAACGGAAACTCCAGGGAATGGGATTGCTCTGGATGATTGCAAAGCCTCAGTTTTGATTAAAATTCAGAGTGATCTGCTGATGTCTCTTGCTTCTTGACAAATCTGGGTCTCTGAGGTCTGCCATCTGTACCGTTTTAAAGATGGCTGTGGTCCATGGCCATATTTGGCTTATCAAAAAACAGATTTTGGTCCTCTTCTTGGTGCCTTTTTCAGTACCTGGTTGATTATTTGGTTCCTAAAAAGGAACTTGAAAAAAAACCAAACAAACAACAAAGGCTACACAGTCCAAGAAAGGGGAAACTTTCGAGAAAAGGGATATCCTTTTTAATTGACTATGTGTTTAACAAGCATAGTAAGATATTGTAAAAATTTATTTCCTCAAATGATGAGCCAATGGTGTAGCTCTAGAAAAACAGGAACATTATTTATGGTAATATGATTTGGTATAATCTTTTTAGAAATCCATATGATATTATATAATAAGAGATACAAACTATTCCTACCCTGGTCCAGTGATCCTAGTACTAGGAAGATCCTGTAAAAAGAATATTGATGGGGAAAAACAATTATCTATATAAAAATATTCCATTGCATAGTGCAATGGAAAGAACAATGAGTCTAGAGTTGGAAATTGTCATTCAGTCACTTCAATCATGTCTGGTTCTTTGTGACCCCATTTGGGGTTTTCTTGGCAAAGACACTGGAATGGTTTGCCATTTCCTTTTTGAGCTCATTTTGCAGATGAGAAAACTGGGGCAAAGAATGATTTGCCCAGGGCCACACAGGTAATAAGTGTCTGAGGCCAGATTTGAACTCAGGAAGATGAGTCTGCCTGACTCCAGGCCTTGTGCTCTATTCACTGCACCACCTAGCTGCCTAGAATTGAAAGACCAGAGTTCAAATCCTGACTCTGATGCCTACTTCATGTGTGACTTTGGACAAATTATTTTAACTTCTCTTGGCTACAAGTTTCCTCAAAAACGAGGGAATTGGAATTATGAAGTCTTTGAGGTCCCTTTCAGCTCAAGATTCATGATTATATGAACATTATTTATAATAGCAAAAGAATGGAAACATCAGATGCATCTAGTAATTGGGGAATGGCTTGGGAAACTACGGTATATGAGTGTATCAATCTGCCGATCAATCAACAAGCATTTATTAAGCTATGTGCCAGGTACTGCAGGCTCAGCACTGGAGATATAAAGAAAGAGAATTGACTAGATTCAGCAGAACCCAATATGTTAACAATGGATTGACTAATTCTCACATACTCCTTGTTATTAATTGTTATTATTGAGCATTTCAGTCATGTCCAACTCTTCATGACCTCATTTGGGATTTCCTTGGCAAAGATACTAGAGTGGTCTACAATTTCCTTCTCCTACAAATATGATCTTATTTTATCCTCCCAACGATCCTGGGAGGTAGGTGCTTCTATCCCCTTTTTACAGATGAGGAAACCAAGGCAAACAGGGTTAAGTGACTTGCCCAGCGTCACACAGCTAGTAAGTGTGTAAGTCCAGATTTGAACTCTGGTCTTTATGATTGCAGGCCCAGTGGTCTATCCCCAATACCACCTAGCTGCCTGCACTCATTATTATTTAAAATGAACATATTTATTTAGCAACTCTCAAAGCATTTTTCTAAGAATTTAAAGAAATACAGACATAAGATTAGATTCAATCCCACTCATTAATGCTTTTTTTCCCCTAAATCATAATCTTCATTTTACCTGAAGGTTTTTAACCCATTCCTCAGCCATTTTCAAATTATCTTCATTAACTTCAGCAAGTTTTCCCTGCCAAGCAACAGCCTTACCATCAAACTTCACAAAATTGAATTTTTTTTTGAATACCAGCTACTCCTGTAACAGACAAATTTTATTCAACTATAAAATATTCATTTTCCCAATATAACAAAAGGTACTTTGGACAATTCACAGAATGATAAATAAATATCAAAGACAATGGATGGAGTCAACTTTTCTAGTTGTGGATATTAAAAATTATATTAAAAACCAATTCTTCAAAGTTAAAGGCATTTCATCTGGATGCTGATAACCCATGCTAGGAAATAGAAATAAAACGTTTGTGATCTAGAAAGCCTCTGCTTTCTTTGCCTTATACCACAAATGTCAAATCTTCCACATTGGGGTCATGGAGGAAATAACAAAAGACTCAAAGTCCCTCCCATCAACAAGGTTTTAGAATAAAGAAAACTTCTAAAGCCATAGGCAATGATACTGTCCACTAGGCCTTCCAAACAAGGGGAAGATGTACCGATTTTGTCATTTAAAAAAGATAAGGAGGAACCCTTCTGAATTTTTGCTAAGGAACCTAGACTCTGCCCTCACACAGTCCCTGATTCCTCTTGCCCATAGCTTTAAGAGCTCAGCTTCCCATTGGTTCCTTATCCCACAGTAAATGATAATAGATTGAGACCATATTGCCAGTAAATGGGTCCCCAAAGTCAGGGGTAATGACTGCTTTCTCTAACCTTCAAAAGCTGAAAAATCTTCTCTTTCACCAGAGGCAGTTTACCCTTCATTGAATGAGATGTATCGATGAGAATGTAGATATAATCTTCAAGCACCAGTCCAAAGAGGCCTTGACTTCCATTTTGTAGCCATTTAATCCTGGAGATAAGAGAAAGGAAAGGTAGGGATGTTAACAGCGTTAATGGCCATCAGGTAATCATAGTACATTCCTGAAATCTTAATGAAACATCCAGTGAGAAATTCAATAGCTCTCCAACAGTAGTACCCTGTCTCCCCAGATGTCTGCATGGGCTTTACTTATCCTCTTTGGGATATGACCTGAAGCAAAATTTTGCAATGGGTCTAACAATCCTGTCTGTTTCTCCCAACAAATGCACACACATTCAAGAAATACAAACTTTTGAATTGCTATCTTTTTTTTTCTCTTCTGTTGAGTTTTGTTTCCTCTTTCTGATGGTTCCTCCTATAGGTTTTAATTTTTACTTACAACTTCACTAATGTGAAAATATGTTTAATAGGAATGTAAATGTATAGCCTGTATCAGATGGTGTGCCATCTTGGGGAGGGTGGTGGGGAGGAAGAAGGAGAAAAATTTTAAGCTCAAAAGCATATGGAAGTGATTGTTGATAAATCAAAATAAATCAATAAAATCAAGGGAAAAAATACAAACTTTATTATAAATTCAAGTAAAACAGAATTAGTGAAATAGATTTGATGACAAAATAAATCTCTCTACTCATTCCAAAGCTATTCAATGGGAATGATGTTCAAATTAATTATTATTGCAGATCCTCTGAGGCAGGGACAGGAGAGGAATAAGCATTTATATGGTGACTGCTATGTGCCAGGCCCTGGGCTAAGTGTTTACAAATATGATCTTATTTTATCCTCCCAACAATCCTGGAAAGCAGGTGCTTCTAAATCCTTTTTACAATTGAGGCAACTGGCAAATGAAGGTTAAGTGACTCTGCCCAGGGTCACACAACTAGGAAATGTCAAATGTGAAATTTGAACTCAGGTCTTCCCGACTCCTAGTCCATAATTCTATATACTGATCCACCCAGCTGCTAATTTGAGCCACCATTCCATCTCATTTGTGAACAAAGAGACACCCAAGAAGCACCCACATTCAAGCTGGTAATGCCAGCACATTCTTCCAGCCCTCATAAAACATATGGACAGTGTCCAAGGATGCGTGGATAATATTCTGTGACCAAGAACTTGGCCAGCTGTGTGAATGGGCCTTCTTCTGCTCTCCCTCCTCAGGCAACTTTAAAGAGACATGGAAGTGAGAATCTGGCTATAGGCATAACTATCACTCATAAAGCTCTTAAAAGCTAAGCAGGCCTGAGGAGACGAGGCCATGCAAGATGGCAGGGTTACTATCCTCCCAAGTACTGCTAATTCAACAAGAGTTTTCTTTATTTATTTAGAGAGTATTATAGAGACTTCTCTGGTTCCTCGAGGCCCATATGCACTTCAGCTGAACTATTTCTAAATATTCAGGAATAGAACACATGGCTCTGGTTTTCAAGTGGAGGGTGAAAAGAGCAGTGAATGGTAAGATGAAGATCAAGAGAGTCAGTCTCTCACATAATGGTCACCCTTTTCTCACAGGTGTGTAAGTATTGACCAAACAGATCAGGGGTGGGGAACCTGCAGCCTGGAGGCCACGTATGGTCCTCTAGGTCACCAAGTGTGGCCCTTTGACTGAATCCAAACTTCACAGAACAAAACCCCTTAATAAGAGGATTTGTATCATGAAGTTTGGATTTGCTCTGTGAAGTCTGGATTCAGCTCAAGGGCCACACTTAGAAGACTACATATGGCCTCAAGGCCACAGGTTCCCCAGCCCTGGACCCTAGGAGACCTAGGTTCAGATCTCACCTCTGACATAAATGAGCTATATGACCCCAAGAAAATTATTGCTCTGTGTATTGGTGCTCTTTGCAACTCTCTTAAGACATTTACTTAGAGAGCCCTGTGGTGGTAGAGAGCAGGGGCATACCAGTAAATGTTTAACAACCAACTCTCAAAAAAAAAGATGCTATTATGACACATTTTTAAGTTTAATCTGCATTCTTAACATTTTCTCCATAATTTTCTCAAGTCTAGACAATCAAGAAAACATTAAATCACTTCCTGATTTGTAGCATTTGCTGAGTAAAGGCACACACTGAAAGCTTAGCAATGGCCCTCTCCCTATAAGAGCTGGCTCCAGCAAATCACCAATAGGAGTTTCTTTATCTGAGAGTTCCCTGTGCCAGTGAAATCAAAGGTCTAGTTCTTATTCCCTAAGACTTTTCCCATCTACAGACCAAATCTAAAGCTTATTATCTCTTCCCTAAGATAGAAACTGAAATGGAAAAAACATCAATGCATATTTGTTACATACCTATTATATGTACAACACTGTGTTAGAAGTTTTGAGGGATAAAAAAGTGAAAATCTAGTTGGCCTCAAGAACTTAAATAGTATAGGTGGGAAGTTCGTGGCTCTCATAGATAGTCTCCAAAATATTATTATTCTTTCTAAGTGTCTTCATAATCCAAAGATAACCTCCAAAATACAATCTAAGAAATCACCAAGTTTGTTCTAGAAATATCACAAACATCAGAAAGGAAATCTCTCATTACTTTCCTTCTAGTCTTTAATGACCATTTCTGAATATAGGATCCTCCAAAGGAGAATACAATATAGTTTTTATCCTGTCCTTTGGAATTGGCATAGATAATAGAAAAGGATAGACAGTGGACAGAAAGAGAATCACACACACACACACCCCAAGGGAATCATCAACCTGTGATGGGAAGCCTAAAATGAAGGTTTAGCTCTTGGGTCACAGGAACCTGCCTGAGATTAAACAATCTCGGAGTCCAAGGACAGAAGGTAGCAATCTCCTGACATTTGGCTGGGTGAGAACAAGGAAACAGACAGACCCAGAGACTATTTCCTGGTGTGATTTCTTCCCTTTACACCACCCTCAAGAGCACCTTCCCACCAGCCCAAGGGCACTCCTAGGGGTTATTGTTTATCATGTAGGACCAGTAACTCATTAGCAAAGATCAGTATATCAGGTAAATCTATTATCGGCCACTGTGTCTTACTATAAGGGAATCTGGGGGCTGGGAAAATAGGACTCAGGGAAATGAAAGTTTAGATTGGGGGAGGGGTGAAGTAGGGAAGGTTAGAAGCATGGGGCTTCCCCTCCTACCACCCTGCAAGACAAGAGGTCCGTAAAAGGGCATTTGGTAGCTTGGGAATGGGAGCACTGAAAGGGATGAGGGGTCTGCTGAAAGAATGGTGGCAAGGGAGGGAGATTCACCCAAGGTAAGCACAGCCTGGACTAGGAGGACTTGTACAAAAAACCCTCCTGATAGATCATTTAAAAGTGATCAATTTATCATATTGTTAAAATAGGCTAAAGAACCTTGCCTGATGACAAAATCAGACAAAGCTGTAAGGAGTCACATGCACTTCTTTTAAAATTGAGTAATAGGAAAATTTCAAATAGCATGTTAGTCTTTTGCGGTTTGCTTTTATGCTTTCAGCAGGTGCCTTGAAATAGAATATTCAAGGACTCTGATGATACTGCACAATGTGATTTAAGCAGGAGAACAAAGGACATAAGGCACTTGCAAATCATGTTTTGTAACATATAACAGTAGTATGTCAAACCTAAAACCTGCATATTTCATTTATCCTTTTTTTAAAAGCAACATCACCCTATTCTCCAAGAATGAAGGTAAAGAAGGCCTAAAATCTGAGTTATCTGCCTGGTCCCAAATGCACCACACATTTAGTGAACATCAACCAATGGGTCCTTTTATTTGCACATCATCTGAGTGCAAACCCAGTCACCAATGGCCCTTTCTTCATCATGCTTGCACACAACAAGGTTGAACCATTTTTGAAATGCAGGAGAGGACTGACCCACTTTGCTTCCAAGAAAAAAAAAAAACCTAACCTTTTCTCAATCAGCTCCAAGGCATTGTTCATCTTCTCTTCATAGGCCTTGCACTTGTCTGCAGTGACATAGACATGGACCATAGTTCCATCCTTCCAGGGAGTGTGGACAAACTTGTTACGGTATTTTGCATGGTCATTTTTCTTGTTTGTCTCCTATAGGGAGAACAACAAAAACATCAACAAGAAATCTTATGTCCCTAAGACAATTTATAAGCAGCATATTACAAGTAGTAGGACATCCCTGGCATGACCATATGGAGCTCTATTACCTAATTTGCCTCTATAGTTACTGAGAGTAGTCAAGCTCTTAAAAAATGGCTATAGGCATTGAATTAACCATTAATTTAACGAGCATGTATTCAGTGTCTGTGCAAGCTATTACTTTAGGTTCTGTGTGTAATACAAAATATAAGAAACAGTTCTTACCCCTCAAGGAAATTGGAAGGTAAAAAGGGAGAGAAGGAAGGAAGGAAGGAAGGAAGGAAGGAAGGAAGGAAGGAAGGAAGGAAGGAAGGAAGGAAGGAAGGAAGGAAGGAAGGAAGGAAGGAAGGAAGGAAGGAAGGAAGGAAGGAAAGAAGGAAGAAGGAAGGAAGGAAGGAAGGAAGGAAGGAAGGAAGGAAGGAAGGAAGGAAGGAAGGAAGGAAGGAAAAAACATTAAATACTTAACAATGTGCAAAGTACTGTGTTAAGCATTGTATATAAAAGAGAAAAAGCAAGACAGTCTGTCCTTTCAATAAGATAAATTCTAACAGAGGAAAAGAAGCATATTAATGCACCAAATATTAAACAGCCCCCTTTTTGATGGTAAATTTCCTGAGACAAGGGTGAACATCTGACTCCTCTATCTCTCCACAAGCTTTATCGGAATGCCTTATGCATAATTAGGGGCTCAATAAATGTTTGTTGAAGAAATGATTCTTTATTGAGTGTTTTTTAAAATTTAGAGTATGCTTTCACTAAAACTTCAGTAAGACAGGTAGGGCCAATATCATTGTCTCCATTTTACAGATGAAGGAGCTGATGATAAAGGATTTGGACATTGTCATATGTCAGTTCCAGAATGTGAAACTGAGTCTCCTGACTCAAGGTCCAGGGCTATTTTTCCAAAACATAGAGAAATGAGTTTAGGAACTGTTTCTTATGTTTTGCATTACACACAGAACCTATAATAATGTTGGTAAAATTGTAGGAGCAAGTAGCAAGTGAGTAAGATATTGTTATAGGAGTCCAGAGAAAGGAGGGTGAATTTTGGCTAGCACAATCAAGGAAGGGTAGACTCAATAAAGAAAGTGATACCTCACACACACAAAATGCTTTCCCATTGTTCATCTCTTCCATATTTGGAAAAGTGTAATAATAACTAGCATTTACATATGACATATATCTATGTATGTGATATATATCTATGTGTGTATATGTGTACTTGTGTGTTTTTTGTATATGTGTTTATATTTATATATCTGGCCTCAGACCCTTACTAGCTGTGTGACCCTGGGCAAATCACTTAACCTGTCTGCCTCAGTTTCTTCACCTGTAAAATGGAAGGTAGTAACAGACTCTGCAGTGCAGGGTTGTTGTAAGGATAAAGTAAGATCCATTATACAAATACATAAAAAATATGTATATGCACACATATATACATACATACATATATATACACACACACATATACATATATACGTGTGTGTGTGTGTGTGTGTGTGTGTGTGTGTGTGTGTATAAGGGTCACACAGTAAGAGTCTAAGGCCAGATTTAAACTTAGGACTTCCTTACTCCAGCCCCAACATTCTATCCATGGGGCTACCTAGATGCCTCATAAGTGCAGACAAAAATTCTATCAAACTCATAGTCATGAGACAAAGTATTCATCTAAGAATATAAAATTTTCAAGTGTAGAAATTACGTCAATATATGGTAAATGCAGCATCTTCATGTTCCACTCTTACAAAGACAAATGAAACCCCGTGGCATCTGAAATCTTTGTCCACTGGACCACCTAGGAAAAGTTCATAGAAAGTCTTACCTTGCCATCAAATTAGATAGGAAAAAGCCTAACTAACCACTGTTGAGCCACAGGTGGTGAAAACAGGAGAAAAGCACATTCCTGGGCAGCCTACAGGATGATTTCAATTCCCCAAAGAAGAAATGTGCCTTAGGCTCAGCCATGTGGCCAGAATAGGCAGCCATTCATGTACAGTGTGACTGCAAGGACTCTGGAAAGGATGCTCCTCTCCCCAAATATCTCTTTAACCTTTCAGGTGGATAGCAGATAGAGTGCTAGCTAGGCCTGGAGTCAGGAAGATTTGAATCTTTATCCAGCCTCAGACACTTAACCTGTTTGTCTCAGTTTCCTCAACTGTAAAATGGGAATAATAATAGCATTTGCCTCACAGGGTTATTGTAAGGCTCAAATGAGATAATATTTGTAAAGTGCTGGCATGCAATAGGTGATATATACATGCTTATTCTCTTCCCTTTCCCTCTTAGTGGTACCTGAAATTAGAAATGCATGCTATTTTTCATAATAAATTAAGATACCTCATTGAGATACTATTTCAAGCTGTATCAATCATTTAGTCTTTAGTGTTTAGAGTTTGCAAAATCTTTTCCTTAGTGTAAAATCTGATCAATGAAAGGGAGTACTGGTAAAAAGTGGATTTAGTTAAAAGGGAAGCTGGGGATGATGCAAATAAACTTCACCTACTTCATAGATTTGTTTCAGACCAACCCCTGCGAGCAGCAATTGCTTTATATATGCCACTCCAATTACACAAGTAAAGGTCGTTACCTTATTTTTCCTCAATATTTGAAAAAGACAGTTTGGAGGTGGGGGAAGGGTAGAGTTTAGCTTCACTAAGGCTCATGTCTCTGTTCTACCACTTATTAGCAATATTATCTGGGACAAATCATTCAGTCTCTGAGAGCCTTACTTTTCTCATCTGTAAAATGGGGGTATGGCAACTAGGTGGCATAGTGGATAGAGTGCCCTGCCTAGAGTCAGAAAGACTCATCTTCCTGAGTGAAATCTGGCTTCAGATACTTACTAATTGTGTGACCCTGGATAAGTCACTTAACCCTATCTGCCTCAGTTTCTTCATCTGTAAAATGAGCTGAAGAAGGAAATGGCAAACCACTCCCTTATCTTTGCCAAGAAAACCCCAAACGAGATCGTGAACAGTCAGATGTGACTGAAAAATAACTGAACAACAACAACAAAAATTTGGATAATGATACATATATTACTCAGTACCTTGCAGGGTTATTGTGAGACTTATATGCTATGCAATTATAATATTTCAATGAGAAACAGTACGGTGGGCTACATAGAGAGCTGGCCTCAGAGACAAGATAATCTGAGTTCAAGTCCCACTTGTGATACATACTGGCTGTGAGACTGGGTACAAGTCATTCAACCTGTCAGTGTCCGTGCACAACTCAGTTGCACAATACATCTTGGTCTGAATTGGTAGAAGAAATCTCCTTACCACAAGTTACTTAAAATAATGAAAGCATCTGCCTGATCCAAAGGAAAAAAAATGATGTAATAATATAAACTACTATTATTACACTATAAAGCCCTGACCTCAACATATTCAGTGAGGCATTGTGGCATGGTGAATAGAGTCAGAGTAATTTAATTACTTTTGGAAGCTTTATTAACCCTTTCAGGATACCTAGAGTGCACTACAACTCATATATCTTTCGAAAGTATTCTCCACTAAGACAATATTTGACACACTGGGAGAATCTGATTTCATAATACCTGGTACCTACTTTGTGGTGTTGGCCACCATTCAGTGGAACATAGTGTAAGATACACTTTAAGGTCACAAGGACAAGAATCTCACTTGTTAGAGAAGTTCACCAGTTGTAACTTGGGAGCTCAGATAGGCAATTTTCCTACCTAAACAAAGACCTACTCCAGTGATCCATTTTGTGTAGGGTTGGTCCTAGGTTCGTAAATGAACATCAGCAGGGCCCAAGGTCTGACAAGTTCTACCATGCTGGAAAGAATTCAAGGATGGTCCCTGAAGGAGACCGAGTTTACCTTCTGAGGACCTGCTCAGTGATAACAACAATAACAATAATAATAGCTAACATTTATATAGAGCTTACTAAGTGCCAGGCACAATGCGAAGCACTTTATGATTATGATCTTATTAGATCCTCACAATAACCCTGGGATGTAGGTACTATTATTATCCTCATTTTTTTTTGTTGTTGTTCAGTTGTTTCAGTCATATCCAACTCTTTGTGATCCCATTTGGGGTTTTTTTGGTTTTGTTTTGTTTTTGGCTAGGCAATGGGCTTAAATGGCTTGCCCAGGGTCACACAGCTAGTGAGTGTTATGTGTCTGAGGCCGGATTTGAGCGCAGGTCCTCCTGATTCCAGGGCTGGTGCTCTACCCACTGTGCCACCTAGCTGCCCCTACTGGAGTGATTTGCTATTTCCTTCTTCAGCTCATTTTACAGATGAGGAAACTGAGGCAAAAAGGGTTAAGTGATTTGCTCAGGGTCACAGAGCTAGTAAGTGTCCAAGGTCAGACTTGAATTCAGGAAGATGAGTCTTGCAGATTCCAGGCCTTGCCTTCTATCCGCTGTCTTACCTAGCTGCCCCATTTTATAGATGAGGAAACTGAGGCAAAGAGAAGTTAAATGACTTGCCCCAGGTCACACAACTAGGAAGTATTAGAGGTCAGATTTGAATTCAAGTTTTTCTGATTCCAGGCTCCAGCTCTCTATCTACTGTGCCAACTAGCTGCCCCTTGGGCTTGTCAACCCACAAAACGAAAATAAGAAATGGCAAAAGCAGAGGCCCCTTTGGAGACATTGTGTTGTATTGTTTTCCTGAAAATTATTATTATTCTCTGAAGTTTCTATTTCAGTCTTATTTCTAATTTCAGACTTACTTTTAGTTCGCTTACAACTAGAAAACATTCATTGATCTGTTGTTTTGTTTTCCCAGATGGGGACAGTTTTGAGAAATGTAAGGTGGAGATGCAGAATAAGAAAATCAGAAAGGAATGGGAAGGGAAAAGAAGGGAAAGGAAAGATTTGCAATCATGGCTCAAACTGCTTATTTTACAGATGAGGAAATGAGCCCAGAAAAGTCACGATTTGCCCAAGGTCCATAAAGCTAATAAGTAGCAGAAAGTCAAACCTTGAAGTGATGTCTTCTGACTCCCAAATGTTCTTCCACTCTGCTTCTCTCAAAGAAGGAACAATCATCTTCAAGGAAATATCACAATTTCCAACCCCCTATCCCTCAAGCACCTGCCTCTATGTGGGCTTTTTCTTCACAGATACTTTGATTCTGTCCCTCAAACTCTGATTTTAATTAAGATCCTTCCAGTAGGAATTAGAAAATGAATTTGGCTATAGAGAACAGGAGAGAGTAAATGAAAGAGTCTCTGATTCCTTGCAGTTTTCCCACTCTACTTACAGCACAGGTCTGCAGGTACATGTTATCAGGTCTGCCTTTTATGTCAACGACTCCATCAATGTGGCGAAAGGAACATTCAGCAAGGATATCAAATGCTGTCAGTTTTTGTGCTTTCAAGCCGTATTTCTGCAGCCACTTCTTGGAATCCAACCTGTCTTCTAGTGATGGCTTTGGTGAGAGTTCTATTTTAGAAGCACAGTTCATTGGCTAATTACATAGGCAGCTCGGTATGGAATCTACCTACGTTAGCATCCTTCCTATCGCCCATAAGCCTAAATACAGACCACACTTCTATACCCCACCTACCTCCCCCAACCTCGCTTGTATAAAATGTGTGTTTTATAATCAAACTCTGAGTACAATGTGCACTATGTAAGGCCCTCTGATCTCCCTGGCAGGGGCAGAATCAGGAATGAGTGGCCCTCAAGTACCCTCCAGGAGCCCAGTACTGTCACTGCTTCAAGGCAAGGGAACAGATTCTGACCCGAGAACCCTTGACACAGGGGTCCCATGGAAAGATCTATGGATGTGCCTTCTCTCCTTTCCATTCCAGAGTGTGTAGGAAACCAAAAGGAATAGAGGAAAGAGGGGTGTGGGGAAGCAATCTCTGTAAGTCTCCCTCCTCAAGAGGGAATTTGCACTTCGTCCTAGGGCTCATCTCCACTTCCTATTTTTAGCTAGATGATCCAGGGCCTGCTGCTTGTTGACAGCACAGTTGCTCAGGTTTTTCCATGGAACTCACTATCCCAGGGAGGAAAATACTACAGAGGAGAAAAGCAGAAATGCGGAACTACTACATACATCCCTACGCTGCCTGCTGTGGGATCTAAATTTTACAGCTAAGCATGCTGATAATCTAGAGTGTTATGATGGTGGAGGAAAGGGAGAAGGGAAGGGGGACATGGAAGGGGAGGGAGGAGGAGAAAGAGAGAGGGGCAAGGGAAGGGAAAATGAGAGGGGAGAGGAAGAAAAGAGGACCAGGAGAGTAACCCAATTACATTCTCAGCCTCTTCTGCTTCAAAAAATCCCATTTAAGTTCTAGGTCGTGAGTACTGGTAGGAAGCTTTCAATTAGTCCAGGGGTGGGAAAAATGTGTAGCCCACCACTCTGAGGTTCCAAATTCCCAGAGAGCCTGGATTTCACCTTAAGCCAGAGTTGGGGTTGGTATGGGGTGAGAGGCAGCAAAAGAAGTGACAGACATCGAGATACAAGATAAGAGCAGGTTGAGTCAGAGGTCTTTAGTCAGAATCCCAGCTCCCCCATGCCTCTGTTCCCTTGGAGAAGTCACTTCATTGCTCTGGGCCTTGGTTTCTTCATCTGTAAAATGAGGAGTTTGGACATCTAGGAGCTAGGAGACCTCTAAGGCCCCTTCCAGCTCTAAAGTCCCATTCTAGAAATCTACATTTGCTCTGAGCATTAAAAAGTCTGCCCAGCCTGTGATAAAATGGCAGAGAAGGATGAGAGGAATTGATGGGTAAACAAAGAGAAAGGATAGGGGAAAGAAAGGGACAGAGAAGGCCCACCTGTTTCTCCACTATCATGTGGGAAGGAGAGGGTGGAAGGAGCTGGCTGGTATAGAGTTTTAAAGTCGAAAGGTTTTCATTGGCCATCTAGTTTAGTCAATATCTGACTTCCAATAATGAGGAATTAACTGCCTCTTGGGAAAGCCTTTACAAATTCTGGATAGTTTTAACTGTTAAGAAGCTTTTTCTTCGAGCTTAAATTTTCCTCTTTGCAACTTTTACCTACTTCAACCAGTCCCTTCTCCACATGAGAGTCCTTCAAACACCCGAAGACAATTATGTCATGCCCTTTCCCCATTTCTGAGTCTATTCTTCTCCCCACTGAATATCAACAGCTCCTTCATCTGATACTCAGATCACACGAACTAAAGGTGGGCCACCATCCCATTACCCTCCTCTGGATGCTGAACAGCTTCAGAACATTCTTCCTAAAGTGTGGTATCCACAACTTCATATGATACTTTAGATGTGGCCCAACCTGGACAGAGGATAACAGAACCATCATCTCCTTAGTCCTAGAAGCTAAACAATTCAATATAACCCAAGGGAACAGAGGAAGAGAAGGGGAAGGAAAGAGAATAAGCATTTATATAGTGTCTACTATGTACTAGGGGGCAGCTAGGTGACATAGTGGATAGAGCACCAGGCCGGGAGTCAGGAAGACCTAAGTTCAAGTCCAGCCTCAAACACTTATTGGCTATGTGACCCTGGGCAAGTCACTTAACCCTGTTTGCCTCAGTTTCTTCACCTGTAAAATGAGCAGGAGAGGAAATGACAAACCACTCCAGTATCTTTGCCAAGAAAACCCCAAATGGGGTCACAAAGAGTCAAAATGACTGAGTAACAACAACACTCAAGGCACTGCTTTACAAATATTATCTCTTTTCATCCTCACAACTCTGTGAGGATGGTACTATTATTACCCCCATTTTACAGTTGAGGAAATTGAGGCAGACAGAGATTAAGTGACTTTGCCCAGGGTCACACAGCCAGTAACTGTCTGAGGCTGGATTTGAACTCACATCTTCCTGACTCCAGGCCCAATATTCTATCTACTGTGGCACCAAGATTATATCACCTTTTTTTTTTCTGTCACATCATACTGTTGATCCATATTGAGTTTACAGATCTTGTTCAAATTTCTAGCTAAAATGTCTTTCCCACTTTGTGTTTTTAGGTGATTTTTTAAAACCCAAAGGAATACTTTTACATTTATTCTTATTAAATTTTCATTTTATTTTATTCAGTTTTCATTTTATTTGATTCATCTCAGTGTTCTAGCATAGGGTGATCTTTTTTGATCCTCTGTGTGCTCTACAAATATTATAAGCATGCCATTTTTACTTCTATAAAAGTCACTGAAAAAAACATTAAGTTCATTCAAGACCTTCTCCAAAGACAGCATTAAACAAACTCTTCAGTAACAACTCTTTGGCTCTGGCCATTTAGCAAATTGCAAACCCATCAAATTATAACATTACCCAACTAATTATAATACTTCTACCCTATATCTCTTTATCTTTTCCAGAAGAATAACATGAGATAATTTACCAAATGCTTTGCTAAAATCTAGGTAAACAATATCTGTGGTATTCCTCAGACTTACTCAGCAGTCTAGAAACCTCGTTAAAAAATGAAAATAAAATTCAATTGGCATGATTTACTCTTGACTAACACTAGAAGGACTAGCATGTCAATTGCATCAATTGATGCAAGAATTTTAAAATCATTTTTTATAATTTATCATAATTTATTACATCTATAAAAATGTATTGTAAGTATAATTACAAGTAGATAATTTTAATTTTATTTTAAAATAAACATTTGTATCCTACTATTTCTAATATGTGCTGTTGTACTGTGTGTCAATTGACACATCCCTTGAAGTATTCTTAAATTCTAGTCTTTGGGACCACCATTCTACATTTCCAGATGTTCTCTTTAATAAAGCTAATAAAATTTTTTTAGAAATCTAAATCAAACCCACTGGCCTAGAGATAAAAAATTCCATTTTCTTCCCTATTTTTGAAAAGCAAGATTCTCTTTGCCCTCCTCCTTTCCTATGACATCTCTCTCGTCTGCCACAATCTTTCAAAAATCTCTGACAGAATGAAATGCAGATAAGGAAGATGGTTTTTGAAAGTTACATGTTGGATGGTTAATATGGACATATGTTTTGCATGACTTCACATGTATAATGGATATCCTATTGCTTGCCTTCTCAACGGCTGGGGAAAGGGCTGGAGGGAGAGAATGTGGAACTGAAAATATAAAAATGAATGTTAAAAAAGGAAGTTAGATGTTGAATTTGTTATACATTTAAAAAGAAAAGCAAAGGGTACAGATTCACAGTTTCTTGTACAATCTTTTTCTGTTCTATTTTGCATATGGAAATGTTTGCTTTATTTAGTGTTTGTTAAATACAGAATTTTAAAAATTAATGCCCATCCCCTTACCCTTCAACCCTGCTGGGATCTCTCTGCTAGTAGCTCAGCTACCATATCCATGGTTTTCTCAGCAATCAAGAATGTAGTTCATCTGGGCTAAATGCATTGAAAACCCCATGGATGTCAGGAAGACCTGAGATCAAATTCAGCCTCAGCCCCTTACTAGCTGTGTGACTGTGGGCAAGCCACTTAATCTCTGCTTGCTCAGTTTCCTCAGTTATAAAATGGGAACAATAACAGCACCTCCCTAGCAGGGTTATCGTGAGGATCAAATGTGGTATTTGTAAAGCACTCAGCACGGTGCCTGACACATAGAAGGTGATATTTAAATGCTTATTCCCTACCTCTTCCCTTCCTAGCTTCATTATTTCATCAGTGGAAAGGAAAAACTGGTGAGACTGAGCTCTAGATTTAATACAATACAATTTTTACATTTAACCTGGATAGAATATTCCTGGGATTGATGTATTCGAGGGTGCAAGGGACACAGAAAGTGTGAATTACAGAGCAATAGCTAATATGGGTGCCACATCTGCAACTCTACAAATATGGAATATCTCCTTTTAGGGAAAAAAACTGGCAGGTTTTTTTCTTTCCCAAGGAGGTTAATGCTTTTAACATGGTAAGTTTATGTAATCATTTTTCATTTTGTGTGTATGTCATGTGTACATCAAAAATATTTATATTTTCCCCTTTCAAAAAGACCATATGTGGCTACTCGCCTGTTAGCCGGCTGAGGTTGACTGAGTTGGCAAGGAGGGGGAGGGGAGGACCCATGAACTTCTAAAATTTAAAAAAGTCTGGGGACCATCTCCAGTCTTGCCACTGGATCTAGGTGGCTCTGGAGGAGAAAGTGAGGCTGGTGACTTTGCACAGCCCTCTCTCATCAAATCCAGTTCACTTGCAAGTCATGGCCTCATCTTCCTGAAGTCATGGTCCTCTTCAGGAACAAAGGACAAGTAAAAAAAGTCTAAGATCAGGGAAGCAGGTTGAATCAAAGTGACACTTTCTTTACATTCTCTGCATTTTTGGTTTCCTAACCTCCAGCCCCAGTTCTAAATTCTCTGATTGGAAAAGTAGGTCATCTTGACTTTTTCAATCTCAGTGTCCTACAGATAATCCAATAACTGACCTGGCCTAGCTTGAGGTTTTACGTGCTCCAAGAGAGAATAATCCTTGGCCTAAGGGTTTCCCTAGTCAATCGGCATATTT